CACAGTCTCGAACACAGGCGGAATATGTGTATACAGATCCACAACACCTGCGGGATGTACTTATATGTAAGTATGTAAATAGTTATCATTTAAAATGTATATACAGTATTACTATTCAGATTCCTAGCATGTAGTTTAAGGAACGGTACTATGGCTCGAGAAGGCATAGTTTGCTTCACGGCATGTAACTTGCAGACATTCGTTTGTGTGAAGAGCGTGATGGGGCGTCCCCGTACCATTCTCCAGTGTGTCCAAAACAAATATTTCTACTCATGCACAACAGCAGTTTGTATAAAATGGGTCAGTTTTTTATATTTGCGTAGGTTATAAGATGTGAAGCGTTACATAGATTAAATTACTTCCAGAGAGGCTTTTAATACTCAAGTTTACACGGTTTTAATCTTCTTAGATGGACATTTTCACATTGACCTCCACTATGCATTCTTTGCAAGAAGTGAATGAAGTAAATATATAATGGGAAGTCATGTCTGTCTGATGTTTTATTTTTGGAACCAGTGATCAGCTTCAGACTTAATTTGATACTGGTGAGATACAAAAGAAATATTGTTAAGCAGGTTTTCTTTTGTGTTAATAAAGTGGTGTGTAAACGCTACGTGACAGCTAAAATAAACATTTCATATTAGAAAAGGAATCTTCATAGAAAATATACTTGAAGTAGGCCGAAAAAATACCTTAGATATGGGCAGTGTTTAATTATATAACCCTACAGCGAAGTAATTGATAGAGTTTGAACAGTGTGACTACGTAGATCGATTAGCTGTGCAACAATACAATATTTTATCCGTGCATCAAGACCAAAATAAGAAAGGACGCTGATTGGAAGGGTCTTTCTTCAGAAGCCGATAAATTGGCCAGTTAGTAAAATTTGCTGGAACCCGTAGTTTCGTTACTATATTTATATGAGTACGCCACTTTACCCCATCTTGAGCCATATGGATTCAGTGCGGACACCTAATATTCTCTTTCTAAAATTCGTTTTAATATTATCTTCACTGTACTCTTAGGACTGTCAAATGTTTGTCTGTCTGTATGTACTTTTAATATTCTCATGCATGTAACGTGTCCTTGCCATTTCATCCTGTATAGTCTGTATACTACGTTTTATTGTTGTGCCGAAAACCGTCGCATATAGCTATCCACAGATCTGCCGTCTGCTGTGTGCGATCTTTTTCCTTCGTTGTGGCTTTTATTTCCAGACTTGCCAGTTTACTAAATCTTATCTTCTACTTCCACATTTTTCAGGAATTTATATAAGTTACGAGATCCCTTGTACCGCCTCTGTTGTCTAGTGGTCAGAGTTCCTGGCTACAGATCCAGAGGTCCGGGTTCAATTCCCGGCGCTAGAAGATTTTATGAGAAGTAGTGGGTCTGGGACGTGGTCCACTCAGCCTCGTGAGGATAATTGAGGAGCTATTTCAAGGAAATAGCGACTTCGGTCGAGAGAACCAAAATTAACGGCCGTGGGGATTCGTTGCACTGACCACGCGACACCCTCTATCCGCAAAAGTTGGCACTAACTTCGCCGAAAAGCGGTGGTCTCTCGGTCGGTATAGTTCTCTTACGGACTAAAGCCACGGAGTTTGTTTGAGTATATACTCCAGTACTGACATGAACACATCTAGTGGAAAATTTCCCGCAGAATTATGCCCAGTGATTGAGGTGAGCTCTTTTTAAAAGATTCAAAAGAGTAGGTGTCTTCCCCCCCTCCCCACCAGAGGACGGAAACAGATTTAGTTTCCGAAACATGTTATATTATGTTTTTTTAGAACACCTCGCGATGGGCAAAGTCTAAAATGCCAGTAATCCTGAGCCCAGAATTAGTGTTCTATTTATGCTTCTGGTAACAATACAGTAACTGATAGTTAAGTATATTAAATTAAACTAGCATGATTTAATGTTACTATGCCATATGTATTAAAACAGACCGTGAAATTTACATGTATCGATATAGCCACGCATTCTGTCGAAGCAAGGGCCGCTGGACGGCCCTGGAGTGTACTTTGCGCGATCCGTGGAGCAAATTGCAACGGGTTGAGTTGGCCGTGGAGTGGATGTATGTTGCCGATGCTCGTGCGATGTCATTTCAAACAGTTGACGAACATCAGGTTGTTTTGCAAACTAGGGAAATCGGTACAGAAAGCTCTTGTAAACATCAATGCGGTGTATGGTTATTAAGCTCTTAAAAATCCGGAGATTACTTCAGTTTATTTTTTGCTAATCCTTTTCATTAAAAATTACGCCTGAATTCCAGGACTTTTTGATCCTCCTATATACAGGTAATATGGATGAACTCATATGCGCATTTAATAAAACATAGTTATTTTCACGCTTGCAATGCTGGATTTTCTAACAGCGCTTAGCCTACTATATCAAGAGAGACATATATAGATGAAAACACTTAATAACCAGCGCCCTTGTTGAGAGCCATGACCTCAGATGAAAGCTTTATTTTTCGAAGAATGATATTCCCATACTGTCATAGGTCTGTAAATTGATGGTCTGAGAGAGGGAGAGCCGGAAGAATTTCCAGAACTTGACCCACAATCTGGCTTACGGGAAAGGACATTTTATAAGCTACGAGGGGCACCCTGTAGCGTAGTTGGTTGAGGCACTATACTACAAGCCGGAAGGTCGCGGGTTCAAGTCCCAATGAGATCATTTAATTTTGTTTTCAATTGACCTAATCCTTCCAGCCACACTATGGCCCTGGGGTCGACTCAGCCTCTAACAGAAGGAGTACTAGGAATATTCTTGGAGGTAAAGGGAGGCCGGCGAGTGGGGCTGACAACCTTGCCGCCATCTATGAGCCGACTGTCTAGAAAATGTTGAAGCCTCAACATCTCACAACCCTATGGGCCTCCACGGCCTGTTTCAAGGGTACCTTTACATTGCTTTTTATTGGTAGTGGGGTGGGACTAAATCCCTTGTACTGCGGCCGCTTCTGGCCTATTGTACCAGCGCCAGATGATAGGTGAGGGTGACTGTGGAGCAATTGGTGGAATGAAGATTGGCAAGGGAAACCGAAGTACTCGGAGAAAACCCGCCCCAGCGCCACTTCGGCCACCACAAATCCCACTTGACCAGACCCGGGATCGAATACCTTTACTTACTTACTTACGGTACTGAACACTAAAACACTAACCGTGGGACCATAACTTTGGATTTCGTACGTGTATTACAAATAGCTCTGTGGAGGGATGTCATTGTGAGGAATTTGGAATGTACTATTTTTAATTTCCTTAGCTTTCTGAGAGCTAATAACAGAAAATAAAGTGCTTGGAGAGATGATTTAATACAATTACAAATATAAATCACTCCGTCCAATGTGACCTGTAAGTTTTTTTACTACATGAAAACTCAACACACTTACATGTTTTGGTCTCTGTGGACCATCTTCAGAGGGCAAACATCACTACAAATAGGAAACCACCATCACATAAGTTGTTTAGACGTAAAGTACGTACACTTATATGCTACAATACATAGTACACAAAATAGAACATTTCACAAACACAGAAGTTTCCTGGGAAT